AAATATCTAATTGAAAGTCCGATCTTCAACATTTATGATTTGAAAACAAACCATTCAAAAACAAAAAATTCTCTTCAAACCCACTTGTATGGACTCAAGTTTGTCAGCTGAGCTAGATCAGTGTCAATTCGACTAGCATCGGCAAAAACGTGAATCCTTGGCACATGTTTTCCTAACGATGCATTCATTGCTACTGCCAGTGAGGACTCAGCCAGAACTCCAACCATCAATCGCTCACGTATGCCTAACTCAGTAGCTGCGAACCTAGCCCTGACAACCTAAAAAGCAATTCTTGTCAGATTTGTTATCTCCGGAACATCGATAAATATAAAAGGCCTCCGAAAAGTGCTGTAAAAGACCAACCTTCGGAGTCGCATCCTGATTCGGAGGTGGTGATGGCATATTGTCCAGGTGCACCGTCCAGTGTTCGCTGACATCAACGTACCTCAAACAGTAATTTTAGAGAAGGACAAAATCTCATCTAAACTTATACAGTGCGATAATAAACCACATGAAACTCACAATGAAATTTTCAAAAAAAGAAGAAAAATTACTGTTTCTGCGGGGCACTTCTCGGCGGACATACTGCATCGCCAATGGTTACTGGGTCTTCCGGATTGAAGAGCAGCATGGCGATCAGTGCTCCCAACATCATACCGCCAAGTAGCGGAATGCATGTTCGAGAGCCGGCCACCATCGCGAGCGGCTGAAAGAGAGTAACATTCCGAACTGTGGATCGAATGAAGACCGATGTAAAGGACATTCTTAATGGGCCCAGTTTAGCTATCAAGGGAAGGATACCAACTCGATCTGGCTAAACAAAAAAGGGAGGTATGTCGCTAGACGTGTCTTCAGAAGCTGATTCCAAATCTACGTTCTTCTGCAAAACGATTTTTCGGAAGGAGTTATGGGCATTTAGCAAAAATTTAGCGGGAAGCCTGTTCAAAAATTATGTGGATTTCCACCGGCTGTATTCCTTCTTGTAGTCAAAATACCTGAAATTGATTTCCCACTTTCATGTGTTTTTGTACAGCTCTTCGCTGATTTTATGTCTTGAGGCTTGACATATTTGGACTTCCTGCCCAGAGCAATTCTCGAAAACTTGCTCCGCAAAAGGATGCAAATATGAAGTCTGCGTTTGGAGACTCGTCTAGCGACATAAATCCCTTTTTGATTTGCCAGAACAAGTGGTATATTGTCCTTATATAAGACCGAGGGTTTAAGCAATGAGAAGTAGAACCA